GAGTTTGGGGAAGGGGAGTGGATGAGGATGGGGGATGGGGACAGGCGGACCGTAGATTATGTTTGTGAGGGTGTTTATGAATTCCCCGATGTAGGGTGTTATTATGTAGTCCTGAATTATAATCAGTTTTTATAATGCACGTCTCCTTAGTTTATTCTGCGTACCTCCTCACAGAAACTACTTCAAGTCAGCCACGTCCAATTCATAATGCATGCAAACTCACTTGTGATTCGACGTCTTTGGCTCCCACGCCCCGACGATGTATTCGTTAGGGCCGGGGTATTCCCATCGCCACTGCATCTTCAATTGCGAAGGCTGTGGGCCGGAGAGTCGGTGTTGTTTTAGATGTTTTGGGGTATAAGGTGATGTTGTTGTTTCCAAGGTTTTGTGGTTTTCTACTTGCAGCAGGAGGGTTCGCGCTTTGACCCCTGATCGCGGTTCCACTTTGCACGCTACGAAAAGACTATACGAAGACGCGTGGAAAAGCAAACAAACACGAGGAGAATACAGTAGAAGTTCTTTGAGAGCGAGGACTGAGGATTAAATTGCGAAATAGCCGTGAGGTTGGACTACTGAGTTTTCTAAGCACGGCAAACCTACAAGACTATTGAAAAGATCTTCCTTCTTCTTACAGCTCTGGAAACGCTGAAGAACAGTTTTAGAGGTTTTAAGACAAGATTGTGAGGGTGTTTTGGGCGCAATCTAGGTCTGGCAGGGTGAATCTTTGAGGTTCCTGTGCGACAGACTTAAGTAGGCAAAAAAGTCATTCCTTGCACATATGCGTAGCAGCGTCTTCCTGAAGCACGAGCGACATTTCTCTAAGCTCTCAGAACTGGTAGGGCGTGTACTGGGCGTCCTGTGGCAGCTGGAAGTGCAAAAAATGGGTCTTACCGCGACTCGAACGCGGGGCCTCTCGCAAGCTATGCTTGGGTTTGCAAGTATCCGAAGATGCTTTCCCTAAGCTGGTAGGGAGTTAGTAATTGTCTCACATGCAGTTCGTATAGTGAGGGCTTACCGAGAATCATACCACTAGACCTGGTATTTGTTAGATAGTGTTCATGGAGAACGTCGTGTGACGGCTCACCATAAGACCAGAAAGCAACCGCTGTGGAGCTGTTGTTCTTGTTGATGGAGAAAACGGCAAAATTTACGTATATATACGCATTATTAATTGGTTCGTGGCGGATGTCTCGTGCCTCCCACCGAAAATTGTGGGTTCCTAGCCATCGGAAGTGTGGATTTGATGCCAGTGATGGTTGACGTGGCCGAAATTAGCCGCAGGCTTAGGCGGACCAGGGGCGCCAGATTGCTGCTCGAACACCAAATCTTCGTATGGGTATTGTCGCTATTACTGAACCTCAGAGGATCGCGATTGTCGAATATAGCTGGTACGGTGTATCGAAGGGAAATTTGGTGAATTCGGAGGGTAGGGGGCAAGTTTCAAGGCGACGTCTGCTTGATACGTCTCTCCCATTCTTCGCGATTCTTTGTTCGCGCGAAGCACTTGAACGCAGCCATGCTCGATTTAAAACAACGATGAGAGATGGAGTGGATTGTAATAATCTTGTATGAGGAACAGCGCGCTGATGCGATACATAGTCAAAACCGAAAGTTGATGACGCAGACCATCTCTGGCATTACGCCGTCGCACGGCTCGCAAATCTTTTCAAGCATGCGCCACACGTTCGGGAAGTATATCATACATCACACATGTAGGTGTTGTATGCAGCAAGAAGGCCAAACACTGTCGCGACCATTTGTTCGCATTTTCTCACCGGCTCACGACTGCTGCGGGCTTTATCTCGGCTACGACGTTCATGTTGTCAAGTCTGTTGTCAATACGCATTTGAAACCTTCATCTGTTTACCTACATACTGTAAATTGGTTAGATGTGTGATTTACCAAGCCAAACCTGCAATCACGGCGCTGTGATCGAAGCAAGATAAGATGTGTACGCGTATCATGGCGAATGGCCTGACTTTCTAAGTCGTCCCGCTTCAACATTCCCATGTTGTGAGGATCCTAGTCGACGCGCAGGGCGACGCAATAGGTTAGCCCAAACGCGAACATCTGAAGCTGGAAGCAAGAAAGCCCGATCATCGATGAGCAAGTCCGATGTTCGTCACGACTCCGATCATGAGAAGGCATTTTGGACCTGCGCCGATGACAGATGCGCCTGTGCATGCGACAGAGGATTGTCCTCAACAAAATCGCTTCCACAGAACATGTCCTTTGTCGCAAATCATCTCAGCCACCCCAATGCGATGCGACTGCGATGCGTCGCCGTTGATGGCATCGCGATGGCAGGGTAAAAGTCGGAGAGCCAGCGTTGCCAAGCAGAGCAACGATCGCGCTTCGTCATACGTTCTGAACCTTCAAGCGCAGTCCTGCCCAATCACCCACAACAACAGTCGGAAGCACCACCTGCTCAGGAAACATCTCCTGTCACATGTAACATCGCACATCGAAGCAACCACCTTAGTCGGATCCCGGCAGTCTGCAAAAAGAGCCGCCGGTTCGGTTAAGATGCCACTGACGACATCCACACATGCACAACGCGGGTGAGGCGATCTCCACAACTCTCCGGGCCTGAGCGCGTCTTTCTCCACCTCCAGCCTAACCCCAGAATCGTTTTTCCACAAATCACACGAACTCCGACACTGACTCGATCTCATTTCTCTCCGATGGTCAAGACGGCAGGCTTCTCGGCATGCGGCCGCTATACTTGGGTCGGTAAATACATTTTAACCATTTTACCTGGCTGTCCAGGGCTATGACCAACGAGTATGGAGTCTCCATGCGGAGCAAGGACTCGAGTGGAGACGGCTGCTTCAAGCGATATGATTGTCACGTCGAGCACAGCGGCGTGTAGTGCCGACTTTCTCGACCTTTATATTCGACCCTCCCCACGTCTGTGGATCGACAGGTCGAACGACTGCCATCTCTGCATCAATCCAAGGCTCTGGACAGGTCCCGGTCAAGATGTTCGAAAGATTTCCTAAGATTTACAATGTCTACTTCTTGGCAATTGTTGCCACGATGGGTGGCATGCTCTTTGGTTTTGATATCTCTTCGATGAGTGCGATCATTCCGAGTGACCAATATCTGTAAGTCGCAGTGACGTCAAACACCTCACTTATCGATCCCTAACAACGAACAGCACCTACTTCGACAACCCAACCGGCGTCGTTCAGGGAGCTATTGGCGCGGCCCTTGCTGCGGGCTCAGTGGTTGGCAGTGCTATTGCTGGTCCCATCTCCGACAAGTTTGGTCGTCGCGATGCCCTTATGTTCGCCTGTCTTTGGTGGCTAGTCGGAACTGCGCTGCAGGTTGCTACAACTGGTCGCGGCATGCTTATCGCCGGTCGTGTATTGAACGGAGTCACTGTCGGTATCACTTCGTCTCAGGTCCCTGTCTACCTGGCCGAAATCTCCAAGCACTCGCAGCGTGGTGCAATCATTATTATCCAACAGCTCGCTATTGAGTGGGGTATTCTTATCATGTACGTACACTGAACACACGAAACAAGCCCAAGCTAACAGATCGCAGGTACTTCATAGGTTACGGATGTACTTTCATCCCTGGCGAGTCAGCTTCATTCCGCACGGCCTGGGGAATTCAATACGTCCCCTGCGTCATGTTCATGATCGGTCTCCCATTCCTCCCAGAGTCTCCACGATGGCTCGCGAAGGTCGACCGTACAGAAGAAGCAATCCACATCCTGGCCTCCATTCAAGCCGACGGCAACATCGAAGATCCCTACGTCATCGCCGAATACGAGGAGATCGTAACTGCTCTTACTGCAGAACGTTTAGCTCCCCAAGGATGGCGAAAGTTCGTCTACAACGGCATGTGGAAACGGACTCTTGCCGGTTTCTCCGTCCAGGCCTGGCAGCAGCTTTCGGGTGCTAATGTATGTTGAGCATACTTCGCGTAGTACCGCCTTGCTAACAGTTCTCAGGTCATGACTTACTACGTCGTATACATCTTCGCCATGGCTGGTCTTACAGGCAACACCAAGCTTATCTCCTCCGGTGTGCAGTACGCTTTGTTCATCGTCTTCTCGTCCATCATGTTCTTCTTCGTCGACAAGATCGGCCGGCGAACACTTCTGGTTTGGGGAGCCATTGCGATGGGCATATGCCATCTGGTCGTAGCTGGAATGCTCGGCGGGTTCTCCGTGTATGTCCCTGAGGGTGTTGGTGGCGACGCGAATGTTGTCATGATGGTCACCGGATCGCCGGCGTACACCGTTATCGCGTTCTCGTATCTTTTGATTATCGTAAGTACCTCTACAAGCTGAACATGAACCACACTAATTCCGCATCTTAGTTCTACGCTCTTACCCTCGCACCCATCTGCTGGGTCTACGCCGCCGAGGTCTGGTCACTAGAAACCCGAGCTTCCGGAATGGGTATCGCAGCGATTGGAAACTGGCTTTTCAACTTCGCCATCGGATTGTTCATTCCACCCGCGTTTGTCAACATTCGATGGGGACTTTTCCTCGTCTTCGGAATCCTCTGCCTTATGGCTGCTGTCCAGTTCTTCTTCACATACCCTGAGGTAAGGAAATCTGGAATTTCTGTCATTGCTCCAGCTAACTCTTCGAACAGACTTGCGGCAAGACTCTTGAGGAGGTTGAATTCCTGTTCAGTAAAGAAGGACCACACGCTTGGAAGACCAAGAAGGGTAGCGACAATCTTGCGCGCGACCTCGAGAACGTTGCTGCTGCGCAAGCTAAGGGAGAAGCACTTGCCACCATTAATAATGTTGCAAAGAAGGAGAAGGGCGAGACTGAGACTACTGAGGCAGTCTAATCGGGTTGGAGTCTGCGGTTGTCAGTTCCCATATGACCAATCATGCACCACGTGGCTCACTCAGAACGAATCGAATCGTTACTTTGGACTCGTGCACCACTGCGTTCGTGTTAAAAGAACCGACACACATGAACGAAGTAATACAGCATTCTATCACAGATCATTACTATTCACATCATGCTACTAATTCCAATCCTCCCGCCAAACCCCCACCTTCTTCAAAAAGTCCACCTGCTTCCCCTTCGCAAACTCCATCGCCCAGTAATTCCCATCCCACCTCTCCCACGCGCCCTTCCAGCTCGTATCCAACCACCCTGTCTTCTCAACCGGATACAAAGACCCCATACCGGATTTCCGCACTTGATCCATGATGTCGGTCGCAATAGTTCCACCCCTGGCTGTCGATCCGCGTGGTTTGACACTGGCCTTGAAAATTTCCATCTCTCGCGCTTCTTCCAATTCTTGTCTATAGGTATCCAGTCTGGCTTCGCGCGCTTGGATTGCGACGGGGAGGTGGCAGCGTGGTATGAGCGGGGGCCTCTTCACGCGTTCGAGCGGATGAGTCCAATCTGAGATCGAAGAAGGTGAAGTAGACGATGAGGTATCGCTATCAGGTGTACGGCTACCAGAGGTACTAGGTGAACGGATAGGAAACGGTGCTTCGCGCATGAACGCTTGTTCCGTTTTTCCGATATGAATGTCCCGGGCTTTGACGCTCTTCCTCAGTCTAACCACCGCGTCTTCCAAGCGCGTGTTGACGCCTTGTTCTCGCTTGTAGTCTCGTTTGAGTGCCTCCCTTACTTGGTCTGCTACTGAGAGCTTCTGTTGGAGGCCCTGGACTTCCCAGTGGGCGTGATCTTTGACTTTTTGGTAGTAGTCTCGGATGTATCGGAAGTTCTCTAGCTGTTGCTCGGAGATGTTGGCTTCGAGTGCGAGACTGTGTTGTTCGAATTGGGCCTTGTTTTCCTCTAGTTCTTCCTTCCAAGTCTTGGCCTCCATTTCCAACTGGTCGTTCTTCGGCCGAAGCTCTGCGAGTTCTGCTTGCGCCTCGGTGAGGTCTGACTGTAGTTTCTCATTTTCAGGCTGGAGTTGTAACAGCTGTTTCTTTGCTTTGGCGAGCTCCAACTCTGCATCACGGCGCTTCTTTTTTTCCCGTTCGTAGTACTGTTCCCATTCATTCTTACCAGTTTGCATGGGATGCGGACTTGGTAGACCGGGGCTCAACAACCCCTTCCTCTCGATTTCGATGGTCTTTCCCAAACTATTAATCTCGTATTCTTTCTCCGCTAGCTCACGCTCCAAATCCACGATCTGCTCCCGCAACTCTTTAAAGTTCCCATTGAAGTTTTTGATCAGTTTGAGGAACTCACCTCGCAGTTTTCCAGTCTCATCATCTTGCGAAAGACTCAAGAAAACTGCATCGAGCTCTTTGGCCTCGCATTTTGAGATCCGTGGCAAGTTTTCGGCCACTTGGTTGACAACTTCGCAGAGTGTGCGGATAGACTCCTGGTTATTCTTCAGCTTCTCATCCACCTCCCTCAGGGAGTCATCAAATGACTTGCAGGCAGCAGTCGCATCTTCTGCCTCTGTTTTCTTCGCCGCGAGTTCCAGCCGCGTCCGCTCGACCGATGCTCGAAGCTTTTTGTTCTCCGCTTCGACTTCTTCAAGAGGAGGTAGTCCAGGCTCGCGTGCATTGCGCGCTGTAATCTTGGCTTCGCTCTCACGAAGTTGTATAGACAGCTTCTCGTACTCTTGCTTCAGGTTCTTAGCTTCTTCTTTGACGGTTTGCAACTCTTGTAATACGGTTTCACGCTGTCTCATCGCCTCGTCGCGCTCTTCTTCCACTTTTTGACGTTTGATTTGGAGCTCTTGTATCTCTGCAACTATCTCAGGCGGAACGATAGGGTTGGTATCAAATGGGGTTGTCGCAACACTATCTTTATTGCTTTCCTCATTGCCATGCGGTGATACGCGTTCAATCTGGTCTTGAGGTGCCGCGGCTTGGCTTTCTACATCCTCGACATGATCTTCTTGTGGCACTGCAGCTGTATCATCTTGCGTCAAAGGCGCTTCCCGCTGTTGTGATTTCTGAACATCAGGATTGGGATCTTCATCGTGATGCTCCGGTGGCTCTTCCTGGGTCAACAGATCTTCCAAGTCATACGATTGCTCCTGTTCCTGTATGGTCAGCTCTTCTTCGGGCTCTGAGACTTTCTCTTGTGCTTGCTTTTCTAGCTCTTCCTCCTCTAGCTTGTTTCCTTCCAGGTCCTCTTTTTCTAGCGAATTTTCTTCCAACTCCTTCCCTTCCAGGATAGACGCTGCTTCTTCACCTTCCTCTGCGCTTCTCTCGTGTTCCACGTCGCTATCAAATTGACTAGAGTCGTCATCATCGACTTGTGCCTTGTCGTCATCTGCGTCCTCCTCATCAATGTCAACATCATCTACCTCACCATCATCTCCATCCCGCGTGGGCGTACCAGCCCCCACCCACTGACGACTCTGCGGTCTACTACCAAACCCAGGAGACGAATGCTGCCTCATCGCACTACCTGGCCGGCTAGACGGCTCTCTCGTCGACGCCGACCTCTTCCCATACTGAGCAAGTTCAATCTTCTCGTTCTTCTTCGCTTCAGATGCTCTGGTCGGGGCGGCGAAAGACGACGCATTTGTTCGTGTTACGGGTCTGACTGTGACTTGCTGCTCTTCATCTGAAGACTTCGGAGACGTAACTTCGTGGTCAGGGGACGACATTGGGTTGGTCTCGTTCATGATGCGGGTTCTTCGTCAGGCAAGTCGCGTTCAATTCGATACTGTCACGCTGGACCGTGATTACGGGTACGTTTGCGCGATTCATATGATATCGCGATATAAATCATTGGTATAAACAAACTTTTCTGTCAGCTACATGAATGACTGTTCTACATGCTTGTCTCATTGATTGATCACTACATTGTCTCATCAGAGGCTTTGCATATTACAGTGTTCCTCGCACAGCATCAAGGTGCTGTTGTCTAAACCACGTCGTGAACGAGGTGAACCATCTCAACGACATGGTGAAATTTGACGAGACACTGTTTCGATTTTCACGGAGGAAAAGTGTACTCTCTTTGTCAACGTTGCTACTGTGAGAATTGCAAGCAATTGGTATCAGCAGAAACGCAAGGTACTGGTTGTCGACCTGACAACTGTGATTGAAAGAACAACCACTGAACGAAGTGTGCGCCGCATAACCGACACTTGTACTGCGAGGATACCCCAACCTTCCTCTGCACTAAGAACAGCCATCTCATCTCGCGCGCATTCGCGCAATGTGATACAAAGTTAGATAGCTCAACGAACGTACGTTGGGCAGGAAGATGCGAGCTAATGCGAACATGCACTTTCGCCACCCCTACAGGATTCAGCATTTCCCACATCCAGGCTGGCAGCCGTTGTGGATGGGCGTCAACCAACGACTGGGGTAAGCGACAGGAGCGCAGCGTTAGTGACATCACGTGCTAGCGTGTACCGACTCAATGGGGTGGCGTAACACGATGCTAGCTGGTTGAGGAAAGACCCATGTCATCTTTAAGCCGCATCGGTTCAGGAAGGAGATAAGGTGGGTGGAGTGGTGAGCGACGCTGACGTTTTAGCCGAATGGAATGGAGAAGGATTCAGGCTTGACGTGAAATGAGGGGTAAAGCAAGAGGCGAATGTCCAGGCTGACGGTGGCGCTCAGTCTACAACGACCTTAGTCCACCGTTGGAAAGCGATGATCGAGCGGAAGCCCCGATCTTGCACGTGTTGTTGTGTGACAAGTGCTGCCCTGATGCTGGTGCGCTACTCGTCACATACCTTACACCTACTTTAGCCGGCAAAACTACGCGAGATAAGCGCCTTCGCGCCAGAAGCGACTGAGGCGTCCCGTTACTGAGCGGCATGCTGGGATATTGCCTCGACGCCATAGATATATCGTAAGCTTTTGCCGGGAGCTTCGTCGACTGTGCCACTGTGCCGTGTCTTCTGATCATTCTGGAACGGGTAAGTTTTCATCAAGGTACATTGAAGAATGTCAGGCAAATCGTGCGATACTTGCATGAGAGCCGTACCAAGCATCAATCGGTATATGAGTACCTCGCGGCATAGTTGCTGGATCGAACTGCGACCGTTGGCCTACTGCAAGAGCGCATACTAGCGTACCAGCGCCAGCTTCCTGGTGCCAGAGGCGTGTATACCTGAGGTGACTAGGCAACTCCAGCGTGCAAGATGTCATGCAACTGCATCTTCAACGCGAGTGTGCCGGTGGCGCGGCACTTGTCGTGCTGTGAGCAGAAAAGGGCCGAAGCTTGAGCGTAGCTTGCTTCGAGCGCAATGATATTGGTAGTTTCGATCACACTATTGACGGAATTCCCGTGCCAGAAGCTCGTCCCATGGTAACAATGCTGGGAAGTGGGGTAGACCGCTCAACCGCCAAACCCTTCCAGCAAAATGGGGGCTGACCTTGACTCTTAGCGTCCGCGGAATGGTAGCACAACATCTCTTGGGTTGCAGTTGTTGCAAGGTACCGAGCGTTTTAGGTGTGGATAATCGTTGTAAAAAGTGGAAAGAGGCGCGGGGAGGTCTGTGACCGAGAACATCCGGGTCGATGACGGGTAGAACCAGCGGATCCTATCTCTCTAGCCCGCCGACGGGATCACCGTATGGCAAATTGCGGAAATGGTTTCTTGCAATTGCGATAGCTGGCGAAGGTAACGGAGATGTAGCCTATCTAGGCAATACAGAAGTTGGGTCAGTGGAGGCAGACATTGACAGCTACGGCGTCGATCACACACACGTGCGCAGATGATGCTCTCGACACCTGTGACTACGAGTAGCTCGAGTCGAAAATGCTGTACCCACCATGGATACCGATCATGTGTCCTGGTGTAGTCCTCCACGATACTGCCAGAGCACTTTGGCATGGTGATAGTCCGTTTGCGTTCATTTTTGGGTAGACCGGTCAGAGAAGCATGCTCAAACAGTACAAACTCATTCAAGCCTCCTGGTTCAAAGCAATACTCCAGACAGTGGTCTCCACTTTTGTTTCGCGCTTGCTCGAACCAATCACTATCGTCTTTGAGGCTCAGCCAAACCTGGTCGCACAAGGCTGTAACTGTTTGGTCGTAGTGCCGAAACGGCGATAGTACGCATTCCAAAGGCAGGTCCCCATGTCAACACGATCGACCGGAAGCAACCGAACTTCTGCTGTATGCATGCAATATGCAGGACCTTGCCCAGATGTCCGCGGCCTGTCACCGAAGGACGTTGAGTGCCTGTTGACTGTGACGGGCTTACCACAAATGTCGTCGCTGCAGCATGTTGGGTTCAATAGCCGAGAGGCAAGATGGACGGAATTATTCTGAGCTTGAGCGGTCAACACAGACCTGAACCTCGCCGCGGGGGCGCATCGTAACCAGCCTGTCGGGATTGCCGTACCGACCCTACCCTTTGTCCGGCGACCGCAAAATCATGATAATGTGTTTGAGATCGAGTGTTTGAGATGTGCTTAGTTTGTCGCCGCCTGTAGATTGACTGCGTAGTTGCGTTTTGATGTGCGGTGTGGATGTTAGAAATCGTTGTGTCGTGGTCAGCCCTGCCAAGTATGACCAGCTGTCAGGGTTCTGACATAGAAGGCTGCAGCCATCCGTGAACAGCACGTCAGGCTTGACTACGTAGCGAAAGAACCCAAGTTTTGGTCGACCAACCACGTTCGGCCTTGGGAAGATTTCTGGTCATGTACCATCTATGTCATTGGTTGCTGGGAAAGGGTACCGCGAGCCCCCGGTGATGCAATTGGTGCAGGAATGCAGCCCATGTTCTGGCGGAACATAATTTCAGGGGTCGTTCTGGAGGCTAAAGATACCAGTGAGCGTGTGGCTTGCTATAGCGAGCGCCCAGTGCACATGACTGCTGCAAGCCATAGTACACCCCTGCTAAGATTGGTAGACAGCTTTTTGGGGTAGGCGATTTGAAAGGAAGGGCGCCTAGATTGAGAGTAGCTTCCGTCTATAGCTGTCGATGTGGAGGGGCTGAGGGCCGCTTTCAACCCCACAACAGGACGGACATGATATTTTCGACTTCGAAACGTGAACGGACCAGAAGGCTAGGTCTTGCGCCATTTTGCAGGTAGTTCATCGCTTGAGAGGTTCGCAGGCCAAAAGCAGCGCGACGTCTGAGTGTGTCAAGCGCGCCCAGCCAACACCAATCCGGTAGTGCCTTTGTCCATGTTCAGACGACTAAGTACACTATACACATACGTGAGCAGTCGACCTCGAGGTTGTGTAGTCGCTACAAATACCTTCTGGCGACTGATCCCGGACAAAGAATCCTTCTCCGTTGATTTGCCCTTCACACTTTGCTCGAGCTCTGCCTTCGCCACAAAGAGACACGGGCCGGAACAACACAACTCAAACAGTACGGCGGTGTCTGACTTGCAAGTTGGTATCGCATAGTCGTCCACGCTGATTGTCTCTGCACCAAAGCCTTGGTGCCGGTGAGAAGCGGGTAACTGCAACAGGTTCGTTCCCTGAACACTTTGCGAACTGCTATGCATCATTGCGGTGAAGCAAACCCAGCAAAGAGCGACGCATTCGCTAGACGTACTGACACATATCCAGTACAATATCTGGAACAGAACAGTCTGATCCAACATCTTCTCGAGAGACCAACGAACGCATCTCGGTATCCACCAGCAACAAAATCCTTCGGTCTTCATGTTGCAGGGCCTTTGACCAACAGAAGAGTCATTCCATCCGTTGCACTTGCGCTTGCTCTGTTCAACTATCGATCTCCATCGCTCAAGCGTTGCGTTGAGTCCGGAAACAAGGCCAATCGGCAGTCCGCAATCTCCACTGTCGCAGCAACTAACTTGTGCGTCAACACTCGCCATGATGAGGGGTGACACGCTCGTCCAACAACATCCTCCGACCCCACCGAATGCTGGGTCAGATTATCAGTCCGGGCTGCACCCAGTTGCGCAATATGGCGTCGATCGCGGCTATTCGTTCGGTGAGACAGGGTACGGCTCGCCAGGCTCGGTGGCGCACGAAGGGATCCCTTCACATGCGTCACATGCCGACAACCATCCTCGTGGGCTCGGACTAGGTATACAATATGTAAGAGTCCCTGCGTCTTCACACATGTAACCATGCTGATCGAGGTACAGGAGGGATATGGTCCACCAGCGGAGTATTACCAGAACGGGCCGTACAACGGCATGCAGGTAAGCAATGTCGCAGATTGTCTCTGACCCGATTGCTAACGGATGATAGAACGAGCAAGCCTTGTTCTCGCCACCGACACCAAGATCTGCGAACGATGAGGATTCCGGACGTAGGACAACTCGTAGCGGACGAGCAACGACATCGTCCAGTTCTCCACGCCTGAATGAAACCAGCCCTAGACGGAAGGCAACACCGAGAGTGAAGAAACCGAAAGCACCGAAGAACGAGAAGCACAAGACGCCCAAGCTTACTGCGCCGTTGAGCATACTGACGAAGGAGCTACATCATATCCCGGTCAAGAATATGGAGGAATGGGTGAACAGGCCAGCGGATGTCAGGAGACGTGAGGTTGAGAAGAGGAATGGATACATCACTCGTCCCATGAACTCGTTCATGCTGTACCGGTCGGCATTTGCGGAAAGGGCCAAGTCGTGGTGTCTTCAAAACAATCATCAAGTCGTGTCGTCCGTAGCGGGGGAGAGCTGGCCGCTGGAGCCCCCGGAGATTCGCGAGCTATACAACGAGTAC